AATAGAGTCGTATGCATACACAGTTATATTTCTAATATACTTTACTTTGGATAAAGCTGATTATTATAGTGTTTCAAGTTCTCATATGTGTACATAATGAATGTAAGAACTCTTTGAAAACGTCACAAATCGTGTTTTGAAACCAATGATATTATTTAGTTCTAAGCAGTATTTCTTTATGCAGTGTTTAATGAATAAAAACTTTGCACTGCTGTTTATGACTACTAAAAATTTTTAATCCACTTTGATTGATATGTAATAAACATATTGAAAGTGTTTATCATATTGTCATTAATGATTTATTTAGTATGTAAACCGGAACATGAAGAAAAATCTAATGAAATAAAAAATTTTTATATGTAATGAACAAGAAAGGAATATCAACCTTATAAATGATAGAATAAGTCCCTATAAGATATGAAAATGAAGCTATCCGAGTTTTAGATGAATGAGTTAAAATTACTCTGAAGTTTTGTATTCTATAACAATGTACACAAGATATTTTCTACAACATCTATAATTAAATCTTGTTGTGTGATTCTCTGTTCTTTGACGAATATCCATTATAAGACTCAAGACAATCAAAATTTTACAAGTATTGTAGAAAGAATATTTTCAATAAATGAAGCTAAGATAGACTTTCATTGAATCGAAATACGTATATAAAAAGTTGGAATACAATCAGTGGTACTCATGTTTCTTGAATAAGTCACGTATTTCTATAAAGTGATTTGATAATAGGAAGCATTCAATCAAAGCTATTTTCTTTTCTGTATTGCGTATATAGAAAATACTACGATTATTTACTCGAAGCGCTTATTATTTCATAAACAATTAAAATTGACATGTCTTATTTTTTGTTTTCCCTAGAAGATCTTGATCGAACATTGGGTGAATATGATTATGGTAGTATGATTGGTCCACCATCGACTAATTTTGAAGATTGTATATCAATGTCGAAACAACAGAATGAAAATATTCCAAATGGATCTGGTGGTTCTATTCATTTGAAGTAAGCTAACTTATGGATTATTTTGTAAAACATGTTCTATCAATATTGATTTTAGAAATAAACCTTTAATTCCTGAGCGTGATTCTTCTCTCTATGATTGTTTTTCTTCATCTCAAAATCAACAAGGATATAATACATTTCGACCATCAATTAATGGATCATCTTCAACAACTAGTGTACCAAATTTATCATCAACAACAAATATTCGACGTAATTCAAATTCATCATCAAATGAAGCTGATGAAGAATCATCTTTATCTTCATTGAACAGTAATCATGTTCTACCAACAAATCAAATATCAATTGAAGAAAATAGTACTGCTATTTATATGACTCCTTCTTTAACTATAAATACAACAAACATGTCTACTTTTAAAACAACAAATTTAAATCCTTTACCATCAAAACCAAGTGATATTAAAAAAAGATCAAATAATCGAAAACATACTTATGCAGGACTTAATTCAAACAATAATAATAATACTATAGCAATAACAATAGAGAATGAAACATGTTCTGTTCTTGCTCCTCCTCTTCCTCCTCCTCCTCCTCCTCCACCACCACCTCCATTTCCGGTTAATTTTGACGTACCAATTAAAATTGAACATCCAACTTCATCAAAATGTGAACCTATAACAACAGTATCAGATTTTCAAGCACAAATTGAACAAGCAAAAACTCGTTTAAAAAAAGTTAATCTTGAAATATTATCACAGAAAACACTTGTTAAATCGATTCATCATCGTAAGTTAATATGACCTTTGATTAAAAAAATATAAATATCAAATAGGATTTCAATCGAAATGTCATGGATTAAGTTTTTCATGTTTCTTTTATTTTGGGTCTTTTAGTAAATTCAAATAAGAATCATTCACCATCCTCATATTATTCAAGTGAATTAAAAAATATTGTAATCGAGGACATAACTCCTTCGAATGGCTTTCCTCCTCCTCCGTCTCCAACTACACTTCGTCGTGCAACTGCTTCAATAGTATCATCATCTCAACGAAATTCAACAGTAATGGATCCAAGATTAGATGTCAATTTTTCTGCTGTTATTGCTCAGCGTGCAGCACAATCAAAAGCTCGTCGTCATGAAAATCCATTAGGACTTGACTTTAATTCGAATGGTTTACCACCATCAACAACTTTCTTCAATAATTGTGTTACAACAAATGGTGTTCATCAAAATTTACCAGCCAATGGTAAGTCATTCCAATTCAATAAATGAGCAAATTTATTCGATTTTTCAGCTGTTTATCATCATCGTTATCGAAATTAATTATTTTATGTAAGAGATCAGTGTGTTTTATATATCTATATATATATATACATGGGCTTTAGTCATTTCTTTCGCATGATTAATAGCAGATAGAACAGAGAATTGTTTTTTTTTGTTTTTGCATGAAAATTTTTGTTTTAGTCATTGTCGTTGTGTTTCTTCTTTTTGTTTATTAGTAGAAAATATCTATGTCTAGTCAGATTATTTATTCAATTGTTTTAGAACATGTAATCAATAAGAATTAAGCGTAATAGATTTGTTTATGAATTTTTGTATGACTGTTTAATGATATTCAAGAATTCCTTGTGAGATACTTTCGAGTTGTCATTACATATGTATGGTATCAGCCTCCTCTAGTCCAAGTGCTAGAGTCTTGTTTATGATCTTCAAGAGAGTCCCGAGGTTGAGACCAAAATTTTATTGTTTTATCGAACGAAAACGATAACACAGCCAATATATTCTTTAAGCTTGTTCTCGTCGAAATATTTTGATAAGATTTACATTCGATGTCATCATATTTATTCTTTCCTAGGAATGGATACTGATAAGTAGATGCTGATACTATGATTAACATAGAAAAACTTGTGTTGATCGTACATCTATTTAAATTACTATGTATGTCATAGAAAATAGCTAGAACTTAGATATGCAATCATTAGTGTGAGGCTTCAAACGAGACTGAAAACGTTAGATTTACAGATCTCTAGGTTCGATTCAAAAAGTTCCATTCTTAATATTGCACAGAGCAAAAATTTTGTTAACATAAGGCTTGACAATTATTGTTTAATACCATATTCAAGTTTGAAACAGTTCATGGATATTGTGCGATCCATTCACTTACCAATATACTTGTTCAATACTCTTTTAGGCATGAAGAAAAATGAAATAATTTTATTTTGGTTTCGCTTCTAATCTTAATTTCGACGAGAGTGAATCGTACTATATTTGTCTATACTTAGTTAGAAAAGACTTCAATTTCAATACTTCTTCTTCGAAGATATTGAAACACGAAGCTTACCATTAACTGTCTTTCTCGCAATAATTCGAATCTTATGTATTGTGATAATAACTATCATCGAATTGATGGATATGCTTTTATTTTTGAAAGGTATTGTTTCTGAACGTGATGAGAACTCAAATAGTGAATGTACAAATTTTATAAAAACATGCCAACGTTCATTCATATAAATAATATTTTAAACATACTTCTTTTTTGATCGAATTACTTATGGGAATTTTTAAGTCGATAAACGACGTCGTTTAAGTGATTTTGAAAATGATGCAAAAAAAAACGTTATTGGAAATTTCATTCTATGCGATGATCATGGGAAAATGGGAGTTTCTTGAAATAAAAAGTTCCATATTTTACCTTGCATGTATTGGGATAAATTCATTGACATATTCATTTGATTTGGTATAAGTATTTGAAATGATTTTAGGTTCATCATGTCCACAACGATTTAGTGCTACAGCAAATCAATTACTTGAGAATCTCAAACGTCGTGGTGGAAGTACATCATCGATTGGTTCTCTTGTTAAACATTATAATCAACAACAATCTTTGTAATTCTCGTTTTTTCTTATGAAATAGGAGAAGATCTTTTCCTTCTCTTATGTATTGTTAATGCGTTTTTCTACTACAACGAATCTTGTTTATCTGTGTGCGTGTATCTGTATAGCTGTTTTTTAATCAGTGATATTCGCAGTCTTAAATGTCTGTGTGCTCTTGAAAATGTCGCCTTGGTTTTTCTTTTCTATATGTTTGTTGGCTATATTTCTGCTCTTATCTTTGTTTGAATTTTTTTGCGTTCGCACTTGGTCCAGTCATCTGACACATTCCGTGCGTTTCTATCGGTTGCTTATAATAATATAAAGAAGAAATACATATGTTCGAATTTTTTATCGTAGAAGGCGAATTTTTCATTCATAGGAATCCAACTTTTATCAAAATGAAAACTTCAACAACAGATTTTAAATCTATTCATCATAATAGGATTTCAAGAGAGAACGTCAAAAGTTTATGTTAGGCAATTGATGAACAGTTCGATATAAATATGTATATTCATTTTTTGGTATATCAACGTAGATTGAGCTCTGAGAGCTTATTTTCATATGATAATTGGGATATGAGACATAATAAATGATGTTTAGGTGAATCATCTCTAATATTCAGACTTGCCATATGATATTAATTGGCGCTGAATCGAGAGTACTATTGGGCAATTGATCAGTTGTTGACATAATGCTAAAGTAAGGTTTACACTATCTCATGAAGAATCTATATCTCTTTTCTTTACAATAGGAATAGATGTCGACGTATCGAACTCTTTTTTTTCTTCATTGTTTTAGTTTTTCTGTCGTTTGATGTCAGATTAATTATCTGAACTGGTACAAGATCAAAATCATCATATATTTTAGAGTTCATTCTACTTTTTCTGTTTTATATCCAAATTTCAGACATTCAAAGAGGAACTAAGATGCTGAATTCGTTGAGGAGTAAACCATTCTATTGATCTGAACTCAAAAAAACACGGCAACATTGGCAGCTGAATATTTATTCAAAATTTTTAGCTAACCGAAATTTTCTTATATATAAAGCATTTGTTATATGTTTCAAGATTATGATATTTATAAAGCAGCTTCTAAGTGTTCTTTTTTATAGATATTAATGTGAATAGTAACTGATGAATCAGTTTTCTTTTTAATTCATTGTGTACAACTAATGAATTTGTATTGAAGATCATAACAGAGTCGAATTTCATGTAATCGACCTTGTTTGTCGATATGAACATCTATGGCTGAAGGAAATAAATGAGGTGAATTTAATGTAAGAAAAGCATTTTTAATTGATGACGATGTTGGTTGTTTCATAGCACGAATATTAGGTACCTTCAATTGATTAAAAAGATATTCAATCACGTTAAAATAATCTGTTGCTGTCTTGTAATAGCATGAACCTGTAACAGAGTTCTTCCGATATGTTACAAAGAATAGATAATTGAATAACCTTACCATGTTTTTCCCATTCAGCTTGCATTAAATCTTCATCGGGCATCAGGCAGTAAAAACGTTTAATGATTGAGAGAGGAAGTTGTTGTTCATTCCGACAATTCCGAGGTTGATCTCGAACTGATGCAGCTTTAAATGTTTGTGGCCAAAGACCGTGAACAACGAAATCAAATATATCACTTCGATGACATTGAAATTCTTTAACACGTGCAATGTCTGAGAGTGATGCACAAAATGTCGGTGACCTAGAAACACAATGAGAACATGTAAAAGTCTTTTTTTTTATAAAGATTGAAAATGATTACCATGATAGACTTAAAAGCAAATAATTCGTTTTACTTTTTGTATTTATCCATTCATTATTTCGCAGTTCCCAATTGAAATCATAATAATTTTTAAACTCTGGAGGAAATGGACAAGATGTTTTGCTAAGTTCAGTTCCATGTACAAACAGAACCCACATAAAGGAGAAAAAAAAGACTACACAACCAAATTCACTCGACATCGTTATACCGACTGTAAATATGTTTTGAAAGAGCAAAATTATTCATATAATATTCACCTGTTTTGCATTTCGTACGAATTTTTTTTTTCACGATGGTTAATATTACATTATGGTTTCACAGAACGGGATGAATAATAATAATAATAAAAACATTTGTAAAGTGACCCAATATATACTTATACAGAATCAATCAATAATACGAAGGAGAGCCAGAAGAAAAACCATTAAAAGCATAAGCCGATAAGTTGATTGACGGCGGCTCGACATTGTCGTAAACAGATTCAAAATTTTCTTGGTTTTGAGAGATTTTGAAATGAAAAAAGATAGAAAATGCTAGTAAAGGATTGGCTTACAAGAAGATAGACAAATCACATAAAACAAAGAAAAAAATAATCTTATTTCAGTCATATATAAATCAGATTATTCAATATCTGATCTATTATAATTCTGATCGTAGTAAAATGCACTTTTCTTGAGTTTTAATTTAGAAACTCAAATTTTTTAAGTTTCTGAGACATATCGGCTTAACGGACGGTAACAAGAACGGTAGACCATGCTTTGACGCAGATGCCATTCTTCGGGTTACTACACCCGAAAGTACGTATACACACAGAAAAAAATGACGAAAAAATGAGTTAAAATCATTCATTTCTTGATACTGGACGGAGATCTCAAGCGTGAAAAATTGAATTATAATACAACACAAGATAAACTTGTGAAAAATAGTTAGAATTCAATGCTGGTTCTGGGTTTAATGATATTGGGGTCAGATTATCTCAAACGTTAGATCCGCAACTGAGTATGATTACTTTAGGTAATCTATATTTGGAGCAAATATATGCGTTCATTGCACTACTATCCATTGATGAGTACAAGTAGAAAGTAAAAAAGGCGTATACTTTGGCAGAGTAGATGTGTCAATGTATTCACGATGCCAATGAAACCAATGCCAGTGTAATCAGTGTTACAATGTCTCACCGTCAGTTTTTCAATATTTTTACCGAAATATCACATTCCTACTTGAGACATTTCATGCATACTGAACGTTCTAAATGAAGAAAGAAAATAGCGTATTTATTCATGTTGTTATAGTAAAAAAATATTTCTGTCAGATTCGCTTATGGCGACTAATTCCATTGATTTCGAAACTAAGACAATTACCAATAGAAAAAATCAGCAAACCCTTTCTTCTACTCATGTCTTTGATGATTTATTGTCCTATGTTGTTCCGTTGAAACGGTTTCGATATAATTATTGGATGGAGAAAAAAAACATAAGTAACATAATAATTATGATAATGTTGACTTTTTTTTGTATTGTTAATATTTTTCATTTGCTGCGTAAATGGTTAAGAACGGATCGATTATTGAAAGAATGATGTTTCTTTCAAATGATGATTGATCTTTCAAAAAATAACAACTTGATTTTTAAATTATTTTCCAGATCTCTTCTGTTATTCTGCATCTCAATGAAAAAATAGACAATCAAAGATGATAAAACTTTTATGATATTAAATTGAAATTTCTAATTATATTCAGTCATGTTTTATTGATTTTATCAAAAAATATATACATATATTATAGTAATCAAGCGAACCATAGAAAATATGCTATTGGCAAACCAACCTTAAAAGATTGAAAAAACTTCTCAAACAATGTTTGCACTTGACGATTTTGGAAATAAAAGATACAATCAAATTCGATGTCGCTTTATTTAAATGACGCATGTTTCTTATCATATATTTTGTGACCATGAAATGAATGATGGCAGAATAAGAAAACAATGTCCAATAACAATAACCAAAAATGACTTTTTAATAACAAAGAAAAGTTATTAAGTAATAATAACGATCAGAAATGATTTCTTTGACAATGATAAAAAGTTATACGATACAATGAGAGAAAAAAGAAAACGTGTTATGATAAAGAAAGAGTACTAGGACAACAGAAAATCACATCATAAGTTCTTTGTCGCACGGCATGCATATTCTTTTCTTGGTTAGATTACTTATAGTATTTGTTGTTGCATCCAACACAGGTTCATTCATAGGATTAAAAACACGTTTGCAGTTATACATTGATAATTCTTATTTAAGAATTATTAAATTTTTTTAATTATTTGACTAGAAGGGTGAGTGACGTAGAATTTATAACATCTAAAGCAATAAATAATGTATAGAAAAAAAATGAAAGAATTCTGTTTCTTTTACAGATATATATAATTGAGAAAAAAAGAATATAAAAAATGATACATGCTTCATATGTGCTTGATTGAAATAATGTTTGTAGGCACTCAATTATTATAGCATGAAATTCATTATTAAAGTAAGCTACTATATCATCGATATAAATACAATACAAACTAATATTTGTCATTATAAAATTTTACTGTTTATTCCGATATATTTCGATTCTTCAGATCCATTATGCTATAGTTTGAAACCAAGTATAGAAATTCAAAAGCATTACCGGCTTCCTCCATAAAGACAACTATTTTGGAGACAAGAAAAGTTTTTAAAAAGTCAATAGAACAGAAAGAGAACCAACCTTTAGGAGTAGCCACTTTATGGTTCACTACAAAGCTGAAATGGTGAAATGCCCAATAGTGTAAATGGTGCAAGATGGCAAATAAAATGCTACTCTATATTTGATGACGCTTTCCGAATGATTACTATATTTTGAACACTTAATCAAACTTGAATTCTTCTTCCTATGACCTTAATATGTTCCGATAAAAGCTGCCTTATTTTTTGTTTTCTTTTTGCTAAAATTCATGTACTCAATATTTTCTAGTATTTCGATCGACAAATCTCATCGTGTGGTTGACAGTTAAATGAGTATAGTGCAGATTATTTTGTAGAATTCGATATGCTCTCCATTTATCGGTATGAATGGTGCTCTCTAAAACGGTTTAGATTATTTGATAAATCATGCATCGTATCACCGTTACCTGGTAAAGCATAATCTCGAATTATTAACCATAAATTTGCAGCGTCACGCTGATCGACAGGTGCCGGGTAGCATTTTTTTGTGTTGATTTCAATATCAACGAAGACCAATTAGGTGTCTAGAAGATGACCACGTTGATATTTTCTTTTGTCGAAACAATTTTTTTCAACTTCGACAAAATTTCCAAAGTCTAAATTGAATATAATTCATACTATTGTGATAATAATTAAAGACATACCTCCAATTTATAGTGGACTATTAATATAATCTTTAGTACATATATCACGGCGAAAATTTCTTCAACCGATAATTGTATGATCATATGATATTTCAAAATCATGTAATGATTCTTTAATTGAAATTTTTTCTCTTGCCCAGTAATATATTAGTCCAAAAATTTGACGTTATAACAAATGAGAATGAGCGACAAATGTTATATTTGTAATTGATTATGTACCTTCACATTTGCAATGACAAAATGTAAAACATATCAAGGGCAAACGATTAACTCATCGGTATTTTCTTCAAAAATAGACTTTCATCTCCTCGACCGTTAGTATTTGCAACATATCAATTGTTACAATATTTCAGACAAGAGTATTTATCACTTGATTAGGTAAGTATGAGTATTAGATATTGCTGAAATTTAATTTAATTTTCTTGAGTTAATGTTAAATCATTTAGAGTTCGAAGAAGCATTGAATTCAAGTCTTCGACATCGATGAATATATCCACAGTAATTGATATTGTAGTTGAATCGTGTTAAATTTTTTCTTTTTTCTTAAATTATTAGCAATCTTTTTTCTATGCGTTCATAACGAGTTTCTTCACGTTTTTCTCTTTATCTTTTTTACATCAAAGAGCTCCCTGCATATTGCAGTTTTCATTTCAATTAATAACCCTCTCTCGTCTTCTTCTGATATTAATTTATTTGTTTACACATACAGCCCATTGAAATATCTCATCACCATGTGTATAGGATATCTATCTTGAATTAATTCTCTTCTGTTTAATAGTGGATGTGCTTACATCGCACATGCACCCTTTTATAAATCACTTTATTTATAGATTTTCGTATGCTTTATATACAGATGAAAGTCATAATATAAGAAGAAACATAATACGAGAAGAAGATAGAGATAACGTCTTTTCCGAGTATAATACAACCGATGTCACGTGCTAAAGTTTAAGATGACGAATTCATCCTTTCTTATTGCAATCATGCTCCGTAATTTCAAAAAAAGCGTTCGTATTAAAAAGAATTGGCTTCGAACATATATTTAAAGCGTCGAAAAAGTTCTATAAATAATGAACATGAATTCGTGCACTTTCTAAAACCTTAGACATGACAATGAATCTCTATTTCTTTATAAAAAAGAACAAAGTAACACTTATTAATTATCCTGTCGCTGTTCTTTTTTCTCATTGTACAAAACAAAAGCTTCTCATTTTCTTCTGATTTTCATCATGTGTGACAGCAGCTAGAGAAATACTTGATCGTTTCAAGTATATCTGCTATTCCTATCGAAACTCAGTAAAACGAACATTTCATTTCTTTGGTATATACAGTATGAATCCTCTAACGATTTTGATCGACTGATAGCCATATGCGAACCATAATATTGATTGATGAAACATCGAAACGAGTCAAGAATCCAATCTATGTTAAATAATTCTTCATTTGTTAAAAGAGATATGTTAAAGTAAAATTTAATCAAATATGATACACTGGTTGTCAATGTTTGTTGCTAATTATTTCCGTAGAGTAGGATATCAATAGATGATGAATCAGGATGCCTGATGATAAGTGTAAAAAGAAATTCTTGAAGACTAGACATACAACGAAGAATAAGATCTAGTGAATGAATACCATACCTAATGTTTGCTAATTGAATGTGTTTAAGAATTGCACTGTAGGTGAGTTATCTTCGTTCATAGACAGAAGATTTTGAATACTGAAGAAACCACGAGGGCGTAGATGTAGGTATGGCTGAGTAAGTGAATGAGTAAGTCTGACAAGAAGATCCTGCCGATCGCCTATCTACATCTCACGCCCACCTAAACCTACACTCACATCCTCATCATCTGATACTACATCCCATCATCGCTACGCACCTGATTCGAATTTTGCTAAATTGTCTTTGCATATTCTGACCCGTTCAGACCATTGTGAACCAGTCAGCTGGTTGCGTATAAAATGAGCAGTAGTTTTTCTCAGCTTCAAATAATCGGAGATGATTCGCTGAATGGTGCTGTAGCTCATATAAGTTTGCACTTGCACCTTTGCTATTGTAATTTAAGAATGATCATTAACAAGGCTACAAACTTGTTCAATATTTGCGGATATTATCTCAGTTACAGATCTGCCAGATTGCTCTTCATCTTCAAAGTCTTTTCAGCCTTCACGAAACCTTTTAGACCACCTTTCTACTGTCATAAGTGCAAGAACTTGATCAACAAAAGCAGAACGTAGTTCATCGTAAATAAATCTTGCTTCAATAGTAAGTACAGCACCCATTTTAATGCAGAAATGAAAATTTTCTTTATCTATATAAGTAAAAGTGAATAGTGTTAAGATTTAATCTAGCTATACTTCGTTGGTTGTCTTAGAACACAGTTATACACTGCGCATATACGTAAAATAAGCTGGACATGTATCTTTGCATATACATGTGTAGACGGTTAGGGATTGACGAAGACGAGGCAAACAAAGAGAATAACAAGAAGATAATACACATAGAAAACAAAATATCGTTTATTACAACTAGCATATATCGTAAAGAAACAAATATTATCGAAAGTTTATTAATATAATTATTAGTTGAAGTATGATCGCAAAGCATCGAAAAATAGAGCATTCTTTTCTTTGTCAGACTATGTAGAGAGAAAGTTTCTTGAAGTTTTTGATAAGGAATTACTAACCCTTTCTGTTCTTTACCAACTGTTTCTTTACAGACGACCGTATTCATCTAAGTTAGCTTGGGACTAATAACTATGCTATTGATATGCTTCGTTATGAACAAACTCTATCTGTGCTTTTCAAACCTCAACATAAACAACTGACTTAATTAAGTTTGACAAAAAAAAATTTCTTGTGCTTAACTATTTAGCTGTGAAGAAGTTATATGTCGTTATAGACAGATCTCATTCTTTAGAAAAAAAATAGTGTTCCTGAACATTGTACCAAGAAGTTAGGGCATACTGACTATGTTGCTCTGAAAACGTTCTTCTTGCTAAAAATTGTCATCTTTTTTTTCATCGGACATGGAACACGTCTTTCTCATTCTACACATGTGACATAAGTGAAATAAACTTGTTTACTAACGATATAATGGGCAAAAATGAATTGTAACTTAGAATTATTGGCAAGGCTACAAAAAATATGACTATTTTTGAGGGACTTGATAGAAGACTTTCTTGTATATTATGAACGATATGACAGGATAGAAGATTCTGGATTTTCTAATGTGTCGTAGGCTTTACAATCGGATTATCATCAATCGTGAAAAAATGAATAGAAAGAAAAAAAATTTAAAATTCATCAATAACTCATTTAATGAAACGAGTTACTTCAATGATCGAATCGATTTCGTTGTGGATTACGTTTTCTTCTCGAATTGATTCATCAATTTCTATTTTCAATTGATCGAGTTCGACTAGTTTAGTTTTGCCGATCTTATTGATAAGCTGTTTACGTTTTGTTGCATAGAATCGTTGGAACATTATATGAGCTTCACAACACCACTTTTCAAGATTTCCCAGGCAAAATGTTTCATTTAAAGAATTACATTCGATTTGGTCTGCGAGTGTTATTAATTTTGAATTGAGTAGATCTGAGTGTTCTTCTAAATTGTTTACACATAAATATTGTTGACATGCTGTGAAAGATTAGCGTTTACATGTGACAATTGTACAAATTGGTACTTTAGGTACTATCATATGTCGTTATTTGCAGAAAAAGAAAAGCTGTAGTAGACAGAAAAAGGTATGTTATGTTTTAGCCGACAGTATTTATACATGAACCGGAAAGTCATGGTTTTTATTTATTTCCTATAATTATAGTAGAAGAGCGAGGAAAAAAAGACTTAGTAGTTTTCCTCTGAAGCGAATCGACTTGTCAAAACCTTCATTTCTCTAGAACTCGGCTATGGGTATAGAAGTGAGAGTAATCGAGGTGAATCTAAGACAACACATCGCATTGCTCGTGGCGGGGCAAAGAATTTCAATGGTTCAACTTATTACCTGCATCTACACCCTTTCATGTCCCTATGGGCTTTTTACAGATGGTTGAATGGCGTTGATAAATAAACTTTTGAAAATTTGTATTCTTATACTGATCAAGAACTTATGGATCAAGAAGTCTACTATGAGTAAGATTTGGGTGTGAATGTAAATATTCTCTGCATTCACACGCACACGCCCAATTTATTAAATCAAAATGCTTCAACTCCATCATTATAAAATCTAAATGATAATTATATTTAGTCAAATAAAAGAAGAAGATGAAATCCATTTTATTCTGGAATACTCTGAAATGATATGATGAAATAATAATTATAGCACAGCAGATCATAAAAGGTGAAGTTGGTTCTAAAACTGTCTCTAGTCAATATGACTGTGCATCTTGATTCACTCGTCCTTCCCCTCCCCCAAACAGACACATATTTTCAGAACTTCAAATGTACACATTCAGAGCCAGATCCATATAATCACATTCTTACCTTCCAATCCAATCCTATTATTTGTAACATTTTACTTTCTGCGTTATTCAGGTGAACCTATCAGTCTATGGTGAAACTTTCTTCAGAAGAATGGTAGATTTTTTCACCTCTTCTCGACAGATTACAATCACGAACAAATTCTCTAAAATATCTTATTTCTAAACGTCGTCCGGCTATTGATTAACAGTCGCTAATAAGAATGTTTACATGTGATGCAAAGATACACATACGATTAATTGTGGTAGCATCAACTTAAATTACAGTATTGATAAAAATTGAATCGAAGAATATGATTGATGACATTTTCCGTATAAAGTTTTGTTTTCTTAAAAAAATAACTTTGTGCTTCCTCGTTTAATGCTTCATGAATGACGAAAATCATCATAGTTTACAATATGAACGGGAATAACTCCGTAATTGACATTAATTTCATTGATAGAATTCAATGTTTACTACAGTACGATGATGACACAACTAAATTCCTTCATTTACTACAAAATATATTTCAATAAAAAATTTGTTTATTTCTGTTCTCAATCAAGATAGTGCATCACCTATAGTCAATAATAATTTTTTTTTTCAAAGTCCAGAAACTTTCATTTACTAATGAATAAAAGATTGATTAGATAACGATGAAGTGATTCTTATTTCTTTACTGAAAAGTATCATGATGATCGAATGTTCACAATATCAACCACAAAATCAGACAACAAATAATAATAAATGTTTTAGTAGTTCGTAAAAATCAGAGCAAAAGAGCAGTTACAAATAAACTCCTGTTTTTGTTTCATTTTGATTCTGTATGGAGAGTGATGACGAAGTCAATTTCACCATCTTTCACCTAATACAAAAAAGAAAAAAGTTATTTTCATAAAGATCAAATATAACTCACAGGAAGCTTTTTGGTTATAACCATATTGCTATTTTCTTTATTCGTTAAATTGCTCAATGGAACGAATGGTTTTTTAAGAATAGCTTCAATTTCATCTCGTTGTTCAGATGCAACACGAGCAATTTCACTTGTTGGTGGTTCTACTGAATAATAAATGGTAATGTCATCAGTTGGAATTAATTTAGCCTTTAAAAAAGAAATAGAATATTAATTAAAATTAATAAATAATATCAAAGAAAAACCTCTTTTCGAAGTTTTTGAACTCGACTTGTAATTTCATGAATAAGACCTTCATCTTTTAATGCCGCATCAGCTGTATAATCAAGTAAAACAACAAACTATTTTTAAAAACAAAATAAATAAATTTAAGAAAAAAGACGAATGAAAAATAATTAATTCATACTCCTTGTTCAGCAGTAGCCTCAAATCGTGTTTGTTTCGCTACACGATAAACAATATGAACATCTTCCGATTCAATTGGTACTTCATCAATTATTGTTAATGGACTTTCATCTTGACCTTTTGATAACAATTTTTCAATATCTGCATCAGACATGTCGCGAATTTGTTGAGTTAATGATTTAACTTTGGCTATTTATATATTCATTTGTTAAAAAAATATTTAAAAAAAGCAAAATAGATATCCTTACCACCAGCTTTTTTGCCTAATGTTGGATAATTTGGTTCAGCACGCATTTCAACACCATAAAGTTCACGATCTTGTGATAATGTTACTTTGCGTACATTTAAACCCTTTATGATGACAATAAATATATATATAAAAGAAGAAGATTAAAAAACACATACTTCTCGAACAAAATCTTCTAATGATTCAACATCTTTCAATACGGATGGATCTTTGTGTATAACAACAAATTCTGGTAATGGATACTAAACAAATAATTCAATCTTAAATATTTAATAGTAAATAAATCAATTAAATTTACTTTCATGGGAACAACTTTTCGTTCCCGTACAACTCGACCTAATCCAATAACTGTTTGTACAGCAGCTACAGCACGTTCGATATCTTTATTTACCAATGAATGACTAAATAAAATTTTTCTTTAACATTTTTTTGAAAAATAAAAAAACAAAATAACAAACTGTGATTTTGGAATCATTTGAAAATGAACACTTAATTCTTGTTCAGAAGAAGATGATGATTGTGGCATTAATTTTCTTAAGATTTGATACATATATTCAGCAAGAAATGGTGTAAATGGTGCCATTAATTTAGCCATTGTTAAAAGAATATAACAAAGGACATTTAATGAAACAAGACAATCTTCTAAGATTGTTTCACCCTACAATAAAACGAATCGATATTAATTTTAGATTTATAAAAAATACCATATATGTAATTTTTTTTTATTAAAATGAAAATGACTTGCAGTACTTTGAAAGAAAGATAAATCTTTTTACCTTAAACCGTTTCTTATTCAATTTGACATACCAGTTGGTTAACATGTCAATATATTTAACAAGACGAGGTACCACTGTATACAAACGGTAAGCTAAAATAAAAATGAAATTCTTTCGAAATACTTATCTTAAATAATTATATAAAATTTTTGATTAAAACAAAATTGAATTTCTACATAAACAAAGATTTATCTCTAGTTAAATATAAATCATGTCACATATACAGTAAATTAACAATTAAACATACAGAAACTCTTACTTTGAAATTATCAAACACTCAATTATAACGGATGTCTTATCAAATGAGAAACAAATCATATAAAATAGTTTGAAAAGAAGAAGTTCAAAAATGCGAATCTATTCCTTGGTTAAATCTGATACTATTGTTAACAATTGATTTTATTTAAAAATATATTGAATGATGAATTCTTTTGAATGTTATTATATTCTTATTAGAATTGAATAAGAGAGTCAATAAAAGATTCTTAAGATCTTAGTCAGTTCTATGAATCTTTATCAAGAACTTTAACAAAATAGGCTTTCTCTTCTGATAACTCATATTGAAATTTGATAGTGATTTATAAACGAAAATTAGTACAGTTTGCCTTTTCAAACTCTAATAAATATACTTCTTTGTTGATTTAAAAATAATGGCATTGATCAAAAGCAATACTTTACTGAATTATTGTTACTTGTGATCAACCTCTAATTTCTTTTTTTTTTTTAGTATCTTACTAATTAATCTCTCTCATACATTAACAGTCATCATTTAATATTCAATATTTTTTTTTCTTTGAATACTTTTCCCGAGATTATTTGGCACTACAGAAGAAGTGAATAAAGATATATACGCCGGATATTTCGAGAATTCTTGGCTGAAACTATAAGAAAAAAAAACTTTTATTAGTCAATGTATATATTGTCTGGTAAAATCATCTAAAATATTTCATTTATATGTCATAAGTTGTATAGTCAATAGAGTGTTTTTTGGGTACATTCTTTACTTATTGTGACATGTGTATTTCTAACCTTTTTAATTATGTCGAATCATACATTGGCTGATAATGATTCATGTACATGACATATACTGTACTAATTTATTAGTTAACAATTTCCACTCTGTTCAAATAAGATATTAATTTTTTAAATGAAATAATTAACTTTTAAAGATTGATTAGAAATTATTTTTTATCGAAGAAAACCTTAATCTTACCATCCATTTCTTGTTTAACAAAATCCAATAATGTTTGTGTATAAGATACAATCCATGTATCCATAACATTTGTATTTGATGACATTGATGCATATAAACGTTTTTCATCATAAATAAAATTAACTTTTCTATCAATTTTTAATTGATCACATGATTGAATAAGAAGACGTAATGCATTATACCAAGGTAAAAATACATCTTTAAGAATATCTCGAACACCTTCTTCTTTAAATTTAAGTGATTCACCACGTACAACCGGTGATGTTATTAAATAAAGTCTACACAAATAAATAAATAGATGAAAATATTAATTTTCTATAATTGAAATAAATTCTTACCTAAGTGCATCAGCACCATATTCATCAAAAATTTTTGTTGGATCAGGATAATTTTTCTTTCTTTTTGACATTTTTTCTCCATTACTTGCTAAAACAATGCCATTAACAATTAAATTTTTAAATGGTGGTTGATCAAATAAAGCCGTTGAAATAACTAATAATGTATAAAACCATCCACGTGTTTGATCAATACCTTCAGCAATAAAATCAGCTGGAAATGTATCCATAAATGTACGACGTCCATCAAATGGATAATGAACTTGTGCATAAGGCATTGAACCAGATTCAAACCAACAATCAAATACTTCAGGTATACGACGTAATAAACCTTTACCTAATCGTGATGGAATTGTTATTTCATCAACACTAAAATAAAAAAATAAATTAAGAAATTCCAGGAAAAAAAAGAAATCGTTTCATTTTACACTTCACGATGAATATCATCAACAGAAACTCCAGATAATTGTTTTAATTCTTCAATTGAACCAACACAAACAATTTCTTGTCCATCATCACTAATCCATAATGGCATTGGATTGCCCCAATAACGATTTCGTGAAATAGCCCAATCACGTGCATCACGTAGCCAATTAGCAAAACGTTTTTCTTTAACAAAATCAGGTACCCTTGAAAAAAAAATGATTTTATATAAATGAAAATTTATTTTTCGCTTTTTTTTTTGTTACCAATATGCTTTGCTATTATTTGCTAATAATCGATCAACCATTCCTTCGACACGAATAAACCAAGATGGAACGGCACGATAAATTAATGGTGTATCACTTCTCCAACAAAATGGATATGAATGTTTCATAACTGATTGATGAACAAGTCTTTTAGCTTCTTTTAAATATTTTATAATAGCTTTATCAGCATGTTTTACATCTTGTCCTTGAAAATCTTTAACTTCATCAGTAAATCGACATTGAGCATCAATTGGACAAACAACAGGTCCTGTATCTTTATTAATAACACCATGTGCAAGACAAACACGATAATCATCTTCTCCAAAATATGGAGCTTGATGAACAACACCTGTACCACTATCTTCTGTTACATAATCATCGCATAATACATGAAATGCTGTTTTAACCTAATTTTATTTAAAAATTTATGAAATAATATTACGACAAAAAAACAAATCTTACATGAGCAAAATAAGGAAATAATGGTGTATAATGCATTCCATTCAAATGAGATCCTTTGAAACTAAAAAAAAAAGAATTTGTCATTTAAAAAAGAAAGAAGCAAATATAGATTTTCATTTAACTCACCTTTCTAGCACTTGATAACTATCAGGTTTTTTATAAAGTTCAGATACACGTTTTTCCATTAAAATAAAAACTTCATGCTTAGTTTTATCTAAATAACAAAAAAATAGTTCATTTTTTTAAAATTTTTTCATATAAACAAACCAAGAATTTTGACATAAGTTGAATTCGGATTAACACAAAGTGCAAGATTTGATGGTAATGTCCATGGTGTTGTTGTCCAAGCAACAAGTTTAACTGTTGGATCATCAACAAGTGGAAATGATACCCAAACAGCTGGATCATCAACATCTCTATAATTTTGACCTGCTTCAAAATTTGATAGTGGAGTACAACAACCCATTGAATAAGGCATTACCTTAACAGTATATTTTTATTTTTTAAAAATTAAAATGTTTTTTTTATTCATACTTTAAAGCCTCGATAAACAAAACCTTTTTCATATAATTGTTTAAAAATAAACCAAACTGATTCCATAAACCAAGGATACATAGTTTTATAATCTCGTCGAAAATCAATCCATCGACCCATACGATCAACAATATCCTGGTTTTTTTTTCAAATTAGTTTTATATCTTTTTCTTTAAAAAAATAAAAAATACATACTTCCCATTCGTGTGCATATCGCATAACAATTTGTCGACAATGATTGTTATACGTAGCAATACCCATTTTAGCTACATCGTCAGGACCTTTAATATCAAGTGTTTTATCGATTTCGTATTCCTAATTAAGCAAAAAAATAAAAAAAAAAGATAATTTCAAAACAATGATAAGAAAACGAAAATATTAAATCATACCACTGGTAAGCCATGACAATCTAAGAAGAACAAAAAAAACACATCGATTATATGAAAAGCGGAAGTAGAAAGTAAATCTTACCCCAACCAAATCGACGTTCAACATGATGTCCTGTTTGATAAGCCCATCGAGTAACTGTATCTTTAATTGTTCCAGCTAAAATATGTCCATAATGTGGAAGACCAGTAGCGAATGGTGGACCATCATAAAATGTATATCTTTAAGCAATTTATCTCATTATTTATTTATTTTAGAATATTTTTTTGCATTTTTACCTTGGCCGATCTTTTGATAACTTATTACTTGTTTCGAATGCATTTATTTGCTTCCAATAAGCTAAAATATTTTTTTCGTTATTTCCGAATTGAATCGTTTCACCAGCTACGGAAAAATCGATTTTAGTAGTAGGTGTTGTAGTTGTGTCTGTATTCGTTGCCATCTAATAAATAGAAGAAAAATAATTTGTTTTGTGGAACGTTTACAACGTCACTTTTTAAATGAAAAGGTAAGAGATGATGTACTGTTTAGAAATCCTCCGTGAAATCGAATAATGCTGATGCAATTTATTAACCATTGCAAAACTTCTTTGCGTCCTCCGCATGATCGAAATCAATCGATAATTACTGCCATCTAGTCAATAATTATTCTAATCAGAAATTAATTCACATCTGCTTCTTTTTCTGGTTACGTCATCGAATACTTTTGTTCGAATTAAACTACTCTATTTGATATGATGAATTGTTTAAATAGAAAAAAGCTTCGGTCATTTGACGCACATAACCAGTTGCACATGTAACGGGTGATAGAAAAGTTTTTGGACAAAATATTTGTTCACTTTTGACCAGCTAGAAAGTATTACGGACTAGTCAAAAGCTATGAGTTAGAACCAGAATTTTGTGCTCTTTTCGAATATAGATTCAGAAATTTTGTCCCAGTTATTGTTCGAGAATAGTGAAATAATCTTTGACAAGTCCCAAAAAATTAGTTGGGACGGAGAATTTTTCCGCACACTTTTGTATTTTCACTATTACAATTCGAAACGAATAGTTGGGATCTTTATTTATACATCAGCTTGTAGATCAGAAGCTGCTCTACAAAATGCACTATTTGAGATTTTTTGTCTTTCGACAAAGCACCTCAATTTGTCTTTTTCCTAAATATTTATTTTTGGAAAAACCGACTAATTGACCAAAACTGTTTCACGTGGAAATGATGTCTTGACAAAATGATTGTGACTACAGTTGGATAAAATCTGCAGCTTAGTGCAATATCACACTGTGTAGAGAAGTGTTTGCTCTACAAAACGACTGACTCAAACAATTTTTAGCATGTTCGAAAAGAAACTTATGAGGTGAACAAAACCGTGTTGCCTCATCATTAAAAAAAGAGTAATAAATTTTCAGGCATTTCAAAAAGGTCCTCACTGCTCTTGACCAAAAAATAGATACAATATTTCTAAGCCCGCATTCAAAGCGAGCACAAAATTTTAGTCATCACCTATAATTTTTGGCTCGTCCGAAATGCTTTCAAGCAGACCAAATTGAACAAACATCTTTACCGTATACTTCGCCCGACAAGCTCCGTCCCAACTAATTTTTTGGGACTTGTCAAAGATTATTTCACTGTTCTTGAACAAAAACTGAGACAAAATTTCTGAATCCATATTCGAAAAGAGCACAAAATTCTGGTTCTAACTCATAGCTTTTGACTCGTCCGTAATACTTTCTAGCTGGTCAAAAGTGAACAAATATTTTGTCCAAAAACTTTTCTATCACCCGTTATTTGCCTGTTGCCTTTCAACAAATACATTTCACAGTATTTTTCTTGAGTCACGAATTATGAAAAGCTGCTGTATAATTAGTATATCAGAGGGAGATATTGACATGATATTTGAATATCATACAATGAATTTCAATGTTCTATTCCGCAGTCTAGTGAATAATCATAGATAATGTGATTTCGAGACCTTCAGGGTTATGTTTTTTAATTCCAACTCCGAGAAATTTTTTCCTGTAAGTTAGCGACAGTTTACATCTCCGATGATATCATGTAATGTAACGTCGTGTGAAGATGATGCAGGTACATTTAATAACGAAAGTGAAGATATTGATTGATACTGATCGTTTTTGCTGCGCAATAATCACTTGTGAATGTTAATCTAGCGTCGGTAGTTTGTTGTATTTTATTCTATATCATTCTATTCAACTATTGGATTGGCAATTTGATTTACTGGACCTTGTAAAATTGCCAAACATAAATGTTACATAAGAAAAGAATGAAATAAAGTTTTCAGATTTCAATATAGGACTCTTATATGATTCTAATCCCATAATAGACAATAGAAGAGAAGAATTTTAATATTCTATGTGAACATAATTTTTATTAAGTGTTGCACTAGAATTGAGTTCTTCTTTAATGAAGACCAAAGACAAAAAGTTAATTTCCATTATGTTTATCTGTAACAAACGATTAGTTATTTTGTTTGTTATAACAAACTTTACATTATACTTATCTTTCAAAATGAAATTAGAGCTGCTTGTTTGCTATACATACACAAATAAGTTGCTTCTTTATTTCTTATTATTAATCAAACGTTCGTTTTGATTTAAACTTTTCTTGTGAGAACTATTTTATTCCTCGAAGAAAATATTTCTTATTTATGTATATTTGATGTTGTTCACAATAAATAAAACATATATAGAGCTGTAAATTTTATTAAATCTTATCGTGAATATAACAACATTTTTTTTTGTATTGTTGTACAATTTGAAAAATATGGTCAAGTACACAAATGAAACATAAAAATGAGAAAGTAGAAAATATTCATCATTTTTTTCATTCAAAACTTCTTTTTCTTATTGTTTGATTTTACTGGTTTTCATCAGAAAAAAAACATAAGACTAATAAATGGACTGAAGACAAATACATACAGTAGAAAAATTCAAAACAAAATAAATCAATTATTTAATATCGTCTTTAAATATAATAATTGATGATTGTTCATCGTCGACTAGATTCAATGGTGATTGAATAAGATAATTTGACGATTCAGATGGAAGTGATGATATTTGTTGTGTATTAAAAATAATTTTATCATCATCGGATAGTGTCATAGAACTCATTGGACGAGGAACTAAAGGTATCACAACATGATTAGTCACCGGACTGAAATTAGATAAGTTTTTTATTCATATTTATTCATTTATTGAAAATAATTTAATATACTTACCAAAATTTATTAAGGGGAATGATACTATTGGGAAAATTAAGTTTAGAACTTGATGGAGATACAACAACAAGAAGATCTTTGTTTTTCGTCGTTTTCTTTTTATTATTCGATTTTGTTACTCGTTGTTTCTTTTTGGGTTTCCAATCATCTTCTTCATCATTATCAAAATCGTCTATATATTCTTGATCTTCATTTGATATACATGGATGAGTTTTATTGGAACTAATCAATGTCATTGAACTGGAGGTTGAATCTAAGAGAAAAAGAAATGCAAACTAGAAAATATAAATCAGAAAAGAAAATTTTAACTATGTAAGTTGAACTATATAAAACGAAAGATTTTCTGAAGTTTATTCTAATGGAAAAAAAATACAATCGATTTTATTATTATATTCTCATATAAAATTCTTCTTAATTGTAACGGATGTGGCAGAATAAATGACCTTTCGATACTTTCTTAACATGTCTATCATTTCTTATCGTTTCGAACTGAACTTTTCCGAAAGATGCACTATGAAAAGTATAGAAAACTATAAGGACTAACAACTTTGAAGCATAATGTTGAATCTTTTCGTATCTTTTTTGTGTTGTGATATTGACAGACGAAAATGGTTTAGTGGTCAAATAGTAGAATTAAAAGAAGTATACTTCATAATTATACCTAATAATTTTCTTAACAAATGTTTTCTGTACAAAACGTACATTCCTTTTGTTAAGATTTAAGAGTAAATCACATCTTTATGTTCGTAAATAAACAATTTATTTAAGGCCAACGTTAGCCATATACTGCGCACTATTCAGTTTACAAGTTAATGATTGAAAATGGGAGAGTTTAGCTGCATTATACCGAAATAATTTTTTGTTCTTAATTAGGTTAAATCTATTGGAGATAGTCTGTTTGATATGGATTATTTTCAGAGAATAGACTTCTTTTCAATAGTTGTTTAAGTGATATTATCGTTTGTATATAACATTAGTTTGTGTACATTTCATTGTGTCGGAAATATATAATATTTTGTAGGCTTGTAACAATTTTTTAGTTGCCAATGGGAAATAGAAAACAATATTACGAATTCTTGATTAAAATTTGTTAGCAATACATAGTTACAGAAATTGTCGAGCAAATTTGTGTTTCAATCTCTGATCTACGATTTTCTCTGATTTTAGAATATCTTCTTCTCGTCTGTATACCTATTTAAAGGTTAGTAAAATGTATTAATGAGCATAATTCCATCACTGTAAACAGAATGTAGTAACTCAAAGCACATCGTAAGTACTAATCTTATAACGTATGTTCTTAAAGTACTTTAGAAGATAACATGAGAATGAAAAATGATTCTAATCCATATCAATTTTTTCTTTTCTGGCTTTTTTTGCAACTAAATTTACGAAAGGTCTTAGCATTATTTAACTGAAAAAAAAAGAAGTGATAATAAGGATGTGCATTAAAGATAAGACAATCTATTGAATTTTACAATTAGATTAAACCTCAAAGCATAGTGAATAATACGTAAATAGTGTTATTCTTATATTCTCATATAATCAATTTGTTCATTAAAGATTCTACCTGTACATGAACTTCCATCTTCTGATATTGAATTGTTTTCTATATCTTTATCAAGATGATTTCCATCTGATCCATTTTTATCTGTAGCTGTTATTATCATAATTTGATCAACAATGCGACGTTTTGCTCGACGTGATGATTGACGACCAGCACCTATGCAGAGAAAATTAGCATTTTTGTTCATGTATAATGTGCAAAAAAAAAGTATAATTTATTCATTATCTTTTTACTTTTTCTCACCAAGACATTTAGCTAAATGATAAGAAAATCTTGTAGCTATTAAATTTGATTGACCACAATTGGGACAAGTACAGGTTTGTTTTTCAATTGCAATTTTTTTATTTCCATAATCATTTATTTGAAATTGTTCTTGAGGAATTCCTTTAATTGATGAATGAATCTCATACACTAAATCAAGTATCATATCATCCACTTCACTATCAATCAATGACTGAATAATTAAAGATAACTCGTCCATAAAAGAAAAATATCTGTAATAAGAGAGATTGTCTATATACTTGTCTCAGCTATGTTTCATAAGAAATTGTTCGTCTGAATTTCAATTAGATTAAATTAAGTTTTATAAGAGTTTTTTTTTTTGGTTGTATCGAATAACAAAATAGAGAGACAGACAAATACACTGATGATGAAGATAAAGGCTAAATGAACAAATACGTAAAGACATATCCAAAAATGTACAAAAACAAAGAGACAATGAGAACAAAAAAGAACAATGTACAAATCGTTTATGAATAACTCGTTTTTTATTTTATTGATATGGTTGAATTGTATAAACATAATTTGGATTTTCACCCGGTTGATCATTTCGAATACAAGTTACAACACGAACCTTAAATTGTAAAAAAAAAAAACAAAAAAAAAGGAAGGCAAAGTCCATTAAAAAAATAAAAGTATTGATTAATCTTACTGAATGTCCATAAGGTTCAAGTCCATTCGGATTAGCAGTCGTTACATTTGATTTCGATGCTAATGTTTGACCAGATAAAGAAGTTGATGTAGTTGTTGTTGTTTGTGGTTGAACTTGTACCGTTGTAGCAACTTGTGCTTGAGCTAAGGATCCACCTGTTTGATTAGCTTGTGCTTGTGCAACTTGCATACGTATATCATCTGTTAATTCGCCACCCATTGTTATTGTTCGATCATATTTTGATGCATCACGTACTTTTGTTAAGAATGTTCTTAATGGTTCAACATATGAATCAAAACCAAGTGTTAACATAGCTAATAAAATATCTTCACCATTAATTGTTTTTCGTTTTTCTTGAAGACATCGATCTGATGCTTCACTTGTTATAAATGATATAAATTCCGAAACACATCTGTTTATTTGAAATTGAATTAAAAAAAAATAAAATCAATTATATTTTAATGATTAACTTACTCTTGAATAGTTTCTTTTGCATCTTTAGCAATTTTTCCTTTTTCAGGAACACCTTTTTTCATAATTTTTGCGACATTAGCAATAGGTAAAAATCGATCTTGTTCACGTAAAGGACCTGTATATCTTGGTAAACCTTCATGTCCACTTCCATCATCATATGAATTATCCATTAGATGTTGTTGTTGTGATGGGCGACCACGTCCACGATATGTTGATTGTTGATGATGTCGATGATGATCATCTTCATCTTCTTCTTCTTCTTCATCGACTTCATCATCATCTGAATAAGGTGCATCTTCTTTTGTTGGATGATATGTATGATCAACATTACTACCAGATGATAGTCGATGCATGGTATTATGATGATGAGATGGTGGCGGTGGACGAGTACCTTGAGTACGACGACGATGGATTGGACCATCATTTGAATTGCCTGAATCATTATCTGAATCCATCATTAGATTATATGAAGAACGATTCGAGGGAGAAATCAACCACTGGTCACACGAATTTTATATTGCGAATGAATGGAGAAATTAATCAACAAATAAAGGCAAAGCTACTTATGGAACGTACATCTTGGATTTTGTCCTCACTCAACCAATAATAGGCCTCTAGCAAAACCTCCTTTAACAGTTATCAGTGATTTCAATATTAAAATTCAAACCAATTTCGAACAAAAAAAAATCGTAAAATAGTATTAAAATAATATTAAAATAAATGAGCATAGAAATAGATGTCACTTATCAATCAAATTTGCATTCTCTCATGAGTCATCAAACTAATCATTCGATTGTTTTCAGCTTTGTAATGTAATATCACTTGTCAATCTATTAATGTTGTATTCATTGAATAAGATAGAATACTATAGTGAATTATTTGTGTACTTGAACTTTTAATATCTTCGATTGCAGAAAAAAATTTTTACATTTTCATTTTAAGAAATATAATACACCTTTTTTTTATCATACGATCTCTATCGAGTTCATATCATTGACGCAATAATGGTACTTTTGAAGAGAAAGCTGCTTCATAGATTGCTTTATAAATTAATTCAGGTGATCGATTATGATAGCAATGGTCGAATCTATCACAACGTACCACGAGTAGATGTTGTAGTTCAATATTCCGATAATATCGAAGAATGAACGCGATAGATCTTTCTAACTATAACATTTTGTGAAGTAAGCGGCGTGTTGTTTGTGTCGTTTCATTACTTGAGTTAAAATTATCCTAGAATACAGTTACAAAAAAAACCTTAATCTAAGATTCAATCAAAGATTAGGCAAAACAGTAGCAAAGGACTATATCTTTTCGATGTTTAGTAATTCATTATTATTAAATATTAGGTTTGACATGGTAACTTCGCCACATATGATAGTATTTGCAATAAATTCTTTGATGTTTGCATTTGATGATGTTGATTTGACAGGTATAATATTCGGTGATTGAATAAATGATCGTTCATTAGATGTAACTTCAAATACAAAGCCAAGAATGGCAAATTGGATTTCTTGAGGTTGAAGACATGCAAAGATAGGTTTGTATTGTTTTGTCCATATGCTTTATGAAGAAATTTTCCAAAATGATCGAAAAACATTTGTAGTGTTTTTCGAATAGTTGGAACAGAACACACAAAGACGATTTATTATTGCTAATATTGCCCCACGCTCGTAGATATCGTCGATTTTGACCAATAATTGATGGTATCTTTTGTTAAACTTTTTTTTCTAAATTTTGAACATTATTATTGAAATCAGCAAAGTTTATATCGAACTTTTCTTTGAACTCTTCAAGTTTCTTATCAAATCTATCAAAATCTATTTTCAATTGATAATTTAAAGCAACAAAACATAGATTTTACTTCATTAGACACTAAAAAATGAAATGACAGAAATGAATAATTTCTAATGGACAATAGTGATTATATAAATTTACTTTGATTTTCATTACGTGGTAAATCGATCGTATATCATTGCTGTTCACCAAGATTTGAATCATCAAAATAAGTTTCTTTATGTTCACTATCCGTTAGTGGCACTTCATCTTGTACACGATTACTATTTGCATAATCTTCATTAATCGACTTTGATTTATCACATTTGATTTCCGTTGAAGTATTAGAAACTATTAACCGTGGTATAATTACATTTTCTCTTGGCAAGCTGATTTGAAACAACAATTGAAATAAATTTGACTGCGAAAGAAATCACAAAACGAAGCTTATTGAAATTTTTCTTTCAAATGGACTTCGTTCTATTTTATTTTCATAGTTATTGTTGTTGTTTCTTTTTTTTAGTGTTACCATTTTATTATTATCAGTTGTTGATGATATTTTTCGTTCAAAATTTTCACCAGGTGTTTCAGACATAACAGCTTGTTCATTCAAAGACAAACATTAGATGTACAAGATGTAATTGGTTTTTTGATCCACCAAAAAAAACCAAATGATTTAAAATTGTCTAACTTTCTCATTTTCATACAAGTCTAATAAAAAGAAGATTAATTTTAGAGATTGACAGTGCAGATGAACAGAATATGCTGCATCAGATTGATCGTGTTTATTTTATTTTATTTATTTGTAACACGTGTATGCCTTTATGACTGGTTCTACTGCTGGGCCATTGAGCTGCAAGAGAATCATATTTATGATTTGTATATGTTTTAGACCATTCACAAGGGAACATCCCCAAGTGGCCTCCTCGGATTTCAATGCATTTTGTCCATAGATAAAGCATATTGTCCAAGCGAAAACTTACAAACATTTGATTGCATAGCGCTACCTTCAAAAGTTATGGATATTTTTATTTTGCTTCTATAAGGTAAAACATACAATACATAAGTAGAGGGTGAGTAACAGGAGCTTGACCGTCGCTAAAACTTTGATCTTTGATTGAATTATCTCAAACGGTAAACCATCATAAGAATACTTCAAGTCCAAAATATTAGTTCTTTCAGACTTTTCTACGAAAAAAACCCGGTGTATACAAGTTATACACTTCTCCGCACTTGGTTCAATAAGACCGGTTGTTTATGAAGCCTTATTATTTTACATTTTTTCCGCGTCTGCTCGTTTCTTCGAAACTAAAGACGTCTCAAAAAGTGTAGAAATGTTTTTTCTACAAAATTAACTGGCTAAGTAATTTCGACAACACATTTTACTAATATATAATTCTAATATAAGAGTAAAAGTATCGTTGGTTTTAATACTAATCTCAAGTATTCTGTTTCTGTGGGTACTAGGTCGAGCTATCACAAAGTAATTGTTATGTTTTCTGATAACCTTTAAAATTCTGCGTTGTTTAAGGTATTACTTGAATAAACTAATACACCAGCAAAACAATTTGTCCATGTCAAAAATGTTGATGGGTGATCGCTATATCTAACAAAGATGTCTCTTAGCCATAAACATCTGTTATATGGACTAACTCAATTAGCAGAAGTTTGATTATCTGAGCTTGCCTTTGAACGATGTAGAATTTCAAGGACTTTCAGAAAACATAACAATTACTTTGCGATAGCTCGACCTAATGTCGTCAGAGACGAAATACTGGATATTGATATTAAAACCAACTATACTTTTGCTCGTTTATTCGTATTATATATTAGTAAATGTGTTGTAGAAATCACTTGATTAGTTAATTTTGTAGAAAAAAAAACAGTTCTGCGTCGCTTGTGACGCCTCTGAATACGAAGAAACGAGCAGATGAAAAGAAAAGTGTAAAATACTAAGTTTTCATAAAAAACCGATCGTTTTGGACTAAGTGTAAAGAAGTGTATAACGTGTATAGATCGGAAATTTTCGCAGAAAAGTCTGAAAGAACTAATATTTTGGATTTGAAGTATTCTAATGATGGTCGACCGTTCGAAATAATTCCATCGAACATCAAAGTTTTAGTGCCAGCTGAGCTCTTGTTACAGACGCTTTTCTTACATATATTGTATATTTTAGCTTATAGGCGCAAAATAAAAATATGCATAACTTTTGAAGGAAGCGCTATGCACTGAAATCCTTCCAGGTTTTTTGTTTACAGGGGAACTACGTGGTATCGATGAATGAAATTCATAAAAATCTGAGAGGCCACCTAAGGAGGTTTTCTTGTAATAAAGAGAAACTAAACATCTCTTAAAAAGTTTTCGCAAGTTCACCTTTGCGCAAATAATTTTTTTTTATTAGCAGCAAAATGAATACGCGCGTTTAATGATGGATATTGTAGTATAGAGCGTGCTCTTTCCAATAGTATATTGGAAGTTAAATTTAGTCTTGATTTAAAAAAAAGTATAGCTGTTTCTACATGGTACTATATACTTTGGTCTTTCCTGCTACTTGACTGCTTTACAACAATAAAAAAGCTTTTTGAATTCTTTTTTCTGCTAAGTTTCTAGAATCTAATGTATTTCAAACAAATAACCGACAAAGATTTGAGTTTATACATAGTTTCTGGAGATTGTACTTGATCACGTTCTAAGTTGATAGTTCTCGAGAAAGGCTCTATTTAAAAAAAAAAATTTTCAATTCCCCGTTTCTTCTATTAAAGAGTCAAGGGCGGATTTTAAAACAAATTACGAAAGCTAATATCGATAGAGCTTTTTGATATGATACATATTGGTGTGTTTTTTTTTATTAGAATTCGAACCATATAGCTTAAGATAGTTGCGAAATAGAAACTTTTCAAGTTGCAAAAAAGTTGTCAGAAGTTTCTGAGTGGTTTTTGACTCCTCCTGATTCATAGATTCGTTTCAGACAAATAAGTTTGGTACAAAACTTGTAGTTCACACGTTGCTGTTTCCAACAAAAATAATTGGATTGGTTTAGAAGTTGACAATATGGTCTAACATAGTTCGACATTTTAGCTGTTACCTTAAAAGACAAATATATCATCACACTAACTGTATTCATTGACATATGTAACATCAAATGAATCATTGAAAAACAATTCTTCAGATAATTTGTGTGAGCTCGATATTTATATTTTTTGAACTACGATATTTTTCACATCGTCAATGAATTTTAGCAGTATTTATTTTATCGATAGTATGATCAAAGCTTTTACCACATAACAAAAGTTTGTATTTTTCAGTTGTACTTAACGCATATGTTGATCTTTTGGAAAAGCTTCTAAGATACGATGCTGCAATAGTGTAAAATCTAACCTACTATTAACAATCTATTAATGTGACCATTTTTATATTAAACGAAATCTAGATCGCAATACTATACGTTACTAACAGAATGTATGCTACTTTAAAGTTATCTATAATCTATATTGATTTCAATAGATTACAGACATCGCTTTCTTTTTTAATGCAGTACGAAGCACAACATTCATGTGGCCCTTGGCCATTATCTTTAATTTTTTTTCTTTTTTTTAATAACAGAACTCTCCACTATTTTTCATTGCAATTAGTTTTAGTTCGATCAATAGCTGAAAATTCGATGAAAATATTGACTAAGTCCTCATCTCTTACCTCATCGATATAATCTGTTTTTTCAAAAAAAAAAACACTTATAAATATAAACACACAGAGATATCAAAAAGTATCTGCTTCCAATACTTATAATACTTCTTTCAATTGTGAAACGTTTCGTAGATATGTGCTAAAAGTTTCTCAAGTCCTTTATAACATTATTATTAAGCGATCCTAAAGAAAAGCCGCAAGAAAAAGGAATGGACTTCCTTATGACCTATTAGCTGCATGTGTTGTCAGAAGCATAGTCAAGTACGCCTTAATTAATTTTAGTGATCAACATGTGATATCACCATATTTAATATTATTGTTGAATGTAAGCAGACCAGTTGCAAGTAGAAAGCATTTATGATTTTCTAAAAATGGGTTTGGTGTCAATAGAGAATTGTCGGGAAAATTCTCTTTTGATAGACATTATTGTATCCAATGGGTGCTCATTGAATTGACACTGAATATCTGTGAGACATCAATTATCAGCTTTGCTATTGTCACTTCCAGTAAAATAATGTCACACTCATTTTGTTTTCTGATTCAGGCATAGATTACTTTTTTTTGTGTTGAATAACTGATATCATTCGTATCAATTAGTACTTATAATTAGCTGGTGTCCTAGCCGTTTTTAATCTAACGAAAAACAACTTTTTCTTTAGACGATCAAAACTGATATAAAGTGTTTGTTTGTGTAAGATAAGTTTAATTCTTATAGAATATGATAGAGCTATACAATTCTAGTTATGAAAACTGAAAAAAAAGTTAACTTTAGTTTAATAAATGTTAAATTTTACGTTATTTTGTTTCATCAAGTTTAAAACTGGACACAGTTCCGCATTTAAATCTTTTCAATATAATATCCAAGAGCTC